GTAACTTCTACCACAGCTCTAAGTTATGTAACTTCTACCACAGCTCTAAGTTATGTAACTTCTACCACAGCTCTAAGTTCTGTAACTTCTACCACAGCTTTGTTTGAAAGTGATCAAATGACACCTTTATACACATCATTAACATTGTTTGAAAGTGATCAAATGACACCTTTATACACATCATTAACATTGTTTGAAAGTGATCAAATGACACCTTTATACACATCATTAACATTGTTTGAAAGTGATCAAATGACACCTTTATACCCATCATTAACATTGTTTGAAAGTGATCAAATGACACCTTTATACCCATCATTAACATTGTTTGAAAGTGATCAAATGGTGTATCTAAGTTTTGTTTACACAGTATCTTTATTTTTGCGCTAAGCTTCATAAAGGCAACCTGCCATAATTTGGAACTGATACACTAAAGGGAAGGCAGCACTCACCCTAACTTTTGGGGCTATTATTGTCTGACCGAATCGTGAGATTTGACCACCAGTCTTACAGGGCACTAATGGCCCCAAAATAAAGTGCGCGTTTTTGCGACAATGGATCGCGAACCATGAACCCTCGGATTCAAAGTCCGGGCAAGCCAATCTTTAGCCACACGCCCGTCCTCATCTGTCTTGTTTAAAACGGAAGACTTATCTAACAGCTCGCTTTATTCTTTTAAACCTTTTACCCTTTTTGTAATTGTTCAGGTTTGACGTATTAAAGTAAACTAGTGTTTTTAGCTGTAAATGTCGTGTTGAGAAGGAACCAAACATTTGATCAATCCTTTATCCCTCTCGCCCAAACTCATGTTATTTTTTTTTAAATTCTCGTGGTTATAACCCCGTAAAACTAAAGCTAAACAACAGGGCTTGCTGTTAGAATTACACTAACCAGAGTACAACAACAGGGCTTGCTGTTAGAATTACACTAACCAGAGTACAACAACAGGGCTTGCTGTTAGAATTACACTAACCAGAGTACAACAACAGGGCTTGCTGTTGGAATTACCCTAACCAGAGTACAACAACATGGCTTGCTGTTGGAATTACACTAACCAGAGTACAACAACATGGCTTGCTGTTGGAATTACACTAACCAGAGTACAACAACAGGGCTTACTGTTGGA